GATTTCTCGGGTATCCTCTATCAAACGCTAGATTATTGCTCTGGCATGCTGTCAGCAGATTCCCCTCTCTTTTATTTCAAACACTTGCTAAACCATTTATCACAAAGCACAGCTTGAACAAGTCATCTTCCAAATGTGAGATCTGTTCATAAAACCATTTAGGGATTCACAGTTTACATATTATGGAAAATATTATTCCATATCTCAGTGATATATGATGCTGAATGTTTATTTGCGTTGTACCTTATCCAATCCATCCATTCACCTGAGACAACTCAGTTTGGGGAAGTCAAACACATTTGTAATGGCCATGTTTTAATCACCACCATATGAGGTCTTCGCAAGATACATTTTCCCCTCTGTCTCACACAACTAAATCCAACCTTCTTTTTTTCTATCAACAGTCTTCCTCCACCTTATACCAAATGGCCTGTGTGTACTTGAGCTTAACTGTGTTTTAGGGATGTCTCGATGGAAAGTTTGAGTGGCGTTTCCTGAAGAGTGTAACAGGCTCGAGCAGCTCTGCTCTCCCACTCACTGCTCTGTTAGCTGTCATTACTTCTGACAGGCTGCAGGTGAGCGCTGATGCCTCTGCCAGGGATCCTAACTCATCTTCATAGCATCTCCTCATGGAATTTCCAGCCAATACAGGCCTTTAATAAATCTATACTCTTGATGCAGGTTCCAAGCCCAGGTGAATGGAGTTAATTTCAACTTCAGGCTAACCTTGCAAAATTAATATTCCTGAAGGAGGACTGTTGACAAAATACTTACTCTTTTGCATCAACAAAAGACCTTTCTGTTTGCAATAAGATCTTGTACTACAGCTTTGTTTTATAATTCACTTGTTTGGCTTCTTTGTTTTTGCTATATTTCATCAAACATCAACCCATAACCGATACTCTTTTTAGTGTATTTATGCACTGTATCCAGTTAAGTGACTCTTTGTGAAACTAGAGAACTCTAAGTCTTGCGTATCTGACAGTGCTACCAACCACTGGGCCACAAACATGGAAACAGTCTACTGTCTTTTGCTTTGTTCTTCCTTAAAGCTGATCCCTTTCTCTGCTTCTTAGATTTCAAACACATATTTCTGAAATGGTTTGATTTTTACAGTCTCTCTCAGCAGGCTGACAGACAGACAATCCCTTTTATTCCAAATTGCGTGTGTACAGATCTTTCTTGCCGTTTTTTGGCTTGGCTGTTTCTAACTTTTTATTATTTATTTAGCCACATGTTGGCTGTGCTTGAGCTTAAATTTCTAGTTTATTGACATGAAAAAGAACAGTCCAGTACAACACGTCTAGTACAAGAATCTTATCTACCAAGTTAGACACACGATTCATAATGTTGGTCAGCACTGCCCCCTGCTGTCAGTGTACTGAAGAGTTTAGGTGAAATTTAAAGCAAGTGTAGTTGCAAGATGACAAAAAATGTACTATTATTAACTATGTATGGAGACTACACAATCTTAAAAACCTCAGGTACAGAGCTATTTAAAAGAATATATCCTTGAAAACATACTCAGTAGAATAATCTTCAGCTAATTCCTGACTCAATTCAAGTAGTATCTTTTTATACTACTAAAAAACTACAAAAAACACTACTATACCCAACCAATTCTTATTAGAACTCAAAATAAGTTCATAGTATTTTTCTCCCCTAATTTGACCAGGGAATTTGTTTGCGTTTTCAGATATATTGAAGAAAGGTTGCTTTGTGCATTCTTCCCTCCTCAAGACTGAGACTGAGGCAGTGAGAGACAAACAGAGGAGTCCACTCTACTGTGACCGCCTGCTCCAACACATCCACTCTGTGACCACTCAGCAGCCAGCCCCCTCCAACGAGTAATACACCGTACTAGTAATACAGCCTTAATACATAATACTAGTAACACAGCCTTATTTATGCTAGGAAGCAGTGATCCCATCCAGGAAAAGGGACATTAATTGGATTTGAAAATAAATGTTTGGTAATGTGTTTTAATGTTTTAATGTTTATCTTTTTGCCATACAGTTTTATTCAGTGTTTTGTATTTTGTGATTGTTTTTTATCTGTTATCTGGACTGTGATATTGATACTGTGTTATTTCAATAATAACAAACCAAATGTTTATTAATATTAAAAATGGATTTGCCTATTCTTCATATTAGTGAAATTAGTTTATTTCGAGTGCCTCCATGTTCTAACATTTGTAGCCTCTAGATGGAGCCAAACCATTAAAAGAGCAATGTTGTCGCTTCAAAATAAAACCTATTTTTCCCATTTTAAGTCTGTTACAGTGTATTCTTAGTTTTAAAGTTAGCCTTACATATATGATTATAAATATGCCGTGTTTGGATGCTGGTATACTGCGCTGAAAATACGCTGATTCTGTGCGCTGTCCGTGGTGCTCTCTGGCACATGTTCACGTAGTGCACACTGTACCTATATGGTTTGACATTTATCCAAAATAACTCAGGATTTTTGTCCATAATGCTGCAAATGGGAGAAGAGTTGATGTGCTACTCGTCGCTGTTTTTGTTGGTCTTGTTGGCGACCAGGAGCGCGTCCATAGCCTCTGTGCTCACTGTCTCCATGTACGTCTTCATAACGATGTTCCGGTTCGCCCCATTACCGGCGGAGCAGGCCGGGAGAGTGCTGCGGCCGCGGGCTTCCATCGGCGGTGTCCTGGTGGTGGCGCATCGCGGGGGCAGTCACGACGCTCCGGAGAACACACTAGCTGCCATCAGAGAGGTCGCAAACTCAATTAATGTTGTGAATTCCTTCCAGTTTAACGTCAGTGTGTCGTGTTTTATTTTAACGCATTGCCTGCTGCTCAATGTGTTTGGAGATGTAGAGGAATAAGCTTTTATTTTCTTGAGTAGTTGATCCAGTGTTATTCCTGTTTTTAGTGCATGGGTAGATCAAACTACCAAAACTCAAAATTTACATTTTGAGCCAATGCTACCATAGATTTCTTTTTTAGGCCTGTCAGCACAATACATTGTTGCCTTGGTCAGTCACAAATTGACATTTGAATGTGTTTGCACCACAAGATGAAGATTTACAACTCTTTCTTTTGACATTACAGAGGGCAGCTGCTATGATTTAAATGGTTCATGCTGTGTCTCTGTTCATTCTGTGACACATTTTGTCTTGGTTTTGGTGCAGGCCAGCAGAAACGGGGCTGGTGCTGTACAGCTGGACCTGAGTTTCACTGCTGATGGAGTGGCTGTTCTGATGCATGATGAAACTGTGGACCGTACCACCAATGGCTCCGGGCCACTCAGCAAACTGCGCTTTGCTCAGATAAGAACTCTGGATGCTGCTGCACGCCATAGGCTCAAGTAAGTGTGAACTCAAACCTATGCAGGGCCTACTGTGTGTGGACAGTTTACTTAGTTTGATGAACTAACACAATATTATTCTTTCTCTACAGAGACAAGTTCAGTGTGGAGACAGTGCCCACTCTCCAAGAGGCAGTGGAGGAATGTTTAAGACACCAGCTGACAATTTTCTTTGGCGTTAGAGGAGACCCAGAAAAGGTCAGTTGAATGCATTTTCTTTGTCTTACATTTACATGGTGGGCATATATATTGGGTCTAACATTTACAACTTTCTTCATATTGATTATAATGCTTACAAGCCATCTTTAGCTGTCTATTGTGACAGATTAAACCAAAGCACACACATCTGATCCAGTGGGCCCGCAATTAGACCTCAAATCATCATGCTCCCCTTCTAATCTAGTTTCATAAATGTAGCTGCTATATACCTCTAACTGGAATTATACCATCAGGTTTTATTTAAACATATTTTCCAGGCTGCATCAGCTCTGCATCACTTGTATAAGAAGTACCCAGGTCTTCACAATTCAAGCATTGTTTCCTCATTTGAACCCAAAGTCATTTACAAGGTAAGAAAAGGCAAAAGTGTAAAACTAACTCGAGGTTCAAGAACAAACGTGCCTCTTTCTCTTTTTATAGATGCGTCAGACTGACCCAAGTGTGGTAACTGCTCTTTCACACCAACCCTGGAGACTCAGTCAAGTTGGAATTAGCACTGATCAGAACAGGTCCAGATGGGGACAGATATGGTCGGCCATTTTGGATGTTTTGTTGGACTGGGCCCACCATCATGTCCTGTGGAGACTCTGTGGAACCTCTGCTATACTTGTACATAAGGACTCTATATCACTGTGAGTTACATGTACTTTTGTCATTTGACACCATTGCCTTTATTCTGCTTACTCATTTGATGTTTGTCTTTTGTCAGAGATTATGTGCAGTTTTGGGCACAACGCGGTGTGGAGGTGGTAGGCTGGACTGTCAACTCTGCTGTGGAGAAAGATTTTTACCAAACCGTACTAAAAATAGGATACTTAACTGAATGTTTGCTAGAGGATTGTTAGCATCATTACTAGGAAATAATTAATTTCAAGCAAGTAACTAAGTAATAATACAGTTAGAAGTTGAAGGACTCTGTGATTGATGAAGAAGACTAATAAATGTTGATTTTCCATAATGTCCCTTTTAAAGCAATAAATTCACCTCATCAAAATGTTTGATCCTAGACAAAATCCTTAATTTAATATTTGTTTCTATGGTGCGTTGGTATACAGTTTAAAGGCTTTTTATTCAAGGCCCAAATCAAGGGTCCTGGAGTTTTGATTTAATTAATTCTTTGTTGTTGAATAATTCTGCATGTTTACCCAATCAGGTTTGGGAATTTATGCATATTTAGACTCTATCTCTGTGTTGGGCTCCATTTCAAGATACTTTACAGTTTTGTTTTCTTAGACTTGTTTTCCAAGTAGGTTACATATGTCATTTAAAATATTATGAAATGCCAATAATGAAAGCATATGCTAACAATAAAGGTGTTTAAAAATCCATATATCCATGTTTGCTGTATTTGAATGCGCTCTCAGGTTTTCTGTTTTTGCTGCACTTTCCCTTTAAGCGGTGGGGGGAGGCGTGGTAGGGGCGTTTATGACAGCTGCTGCTCTGTGACATTGTCCCGTCACAATATCCATGTGTTTCTTGGCTGGTTACGAAGCTCTTATTGCCATGCTCTAAGCCTCGTTTTACCAAGATTTGTCTGTGTTAATTCTTCCGTTTACAAAAGTGCCTTTATAAATAGGTCTGCGCTTCTGCATGATCCGTGCGCCATCTGGACTTAGCCAAAGTTTACAGGTGACTTTGCCAGCGCATTATGTACACTATTACCAGAGGTCCCAGCAAATTGGTCACTCAGCGACGCACCGGTAATACAGGTAGGCTACCTACATACCTTCAATAGCCTCACATTGCACTTTATATTCTTTAATAATTGTCAAATACATAGTCTTATAGATGTTCTCTATCTCTTACTAGGGCCTACACAGCAGCTGGACAACAAAATAAACGATTTCAAGCACAAGCAGACTTCATGGAGCATGCCTGAGTGAGTACTTAAACTGTTATTACGCTTTGATTTGACAATATGGTGTTGAAGTGTTGGAATAATAGATAAACTATATCTTCCAGACTAAGACAGCATGCGTTAAAATATTACACATATATAAGTTGAGGCTTCTCTCAAGGCTAGCTCTGCCTTCTGTGCTGTTTCCATGTGACCTTGTAAAGCCAAGGTGGCCCATGGACCTTCATTCAGCTGTTGCAATGGTACATAAACAACTTTACACAACTTTATTAAACTTTGTCTTTTACACATTGTTCTTAGCCTCCCTGCACCCAAGATAGTTTTCAACCGCCTGAATGGAAAGAAGTACCAGCACCCTGCCCCAGCCCTCAATACTGACAACCACCATAAAGAGACTTTCACCCCTGCACATGAGGACAACGTTAGATTTGTGTATGAAGGTAAGACAATAAAACAGCAGCAGCAGCAGTAGTAGTAGTAGTAGTAGTAATAGTAGTAGGACTGGAAATGCCAAGAAAGAGGTACCGTTCCGCCCTCACAGTCTGCCAGGCCTCACCCAACACAGCTGCTACGACACTGATAGCCAGGCACCTAGCAAAGAGCTCCATTCACACCCACATTCAGTATCACATGAGGAGGACATGTGGCAAAATAAACAGGATTTGGGGGCTATGAGAAAGAAGCAGTCTGTTGTCCGTTTTTGGAAATGGAACAAAACAGTTAAGATAGTATCAACAGTTTAATCTGGTCAGTGACCCAGTTTTGCATTCTCTTCTTTTCAAAGAGTGAAATTGTCTTTTGTTACATTATATTCAAAGAAGCTACATTATTTCTAACAACTCCAGGGACTTTGTGTACAAGGACACAGACAGGACATTGGACACCCATTGTGTAAATATGTATCGTAGTTAATGAACATATTTGTTTATATACTTTGGTTGTATTTGCTTTTCTTCTCTTCTTTCATTTTTTTCCAACAAAAATACTTAGTTTGGTTGAGTCACTTGTTTTGTCCCCATGGAAGTTTTATGCCTCTGTTGAACATTCCAGGCAAAAAAAAAGCTTTCTTCACACGATACTGAATCTGAGCACTGAACTTAAATGTTTCAAATCAGACCTTCTTTTCCCCTCCTTCTTTAGCGTGGCAAGAGGTGGTGGATAACTGCTCAACTCAAGCATCAGAGGGACCCCAGAAGTCAATCCAATATGCAGAGGAAAATCCAAGTCCACACATGAAGAGTAAGAAATGTTGTTTTGACTGAAATCACTATATTCAAATGTGCATGTACCAGGTGACAGGACAATGATTTAAAATGTTGCACTTAAGTTGTACATAAAACTGACACTCTAAATGACACTAGGGAGTACTCAAACAGGAGTCATTTACTACAGGAATCTCCAACCTGTAGCTCGGCAAAGGATTTCTGAATTATATTGTTGCGCTTAATAACTAAAATCTGATTAATTACCGTTGTAAATGTATAATTTTGATGCCTAACTTGTACACTAATAAATGGATAATGGTTTATGTTTAATAGGCATCTAACTGTACTTGCCATAGCTCTTCTATTTTCTCAGTTTCTTGCGACCGCTAAAATGAGTAGTTCTCTGGCATTTTCGTTTCATAAAGCTGCAGCTCACCAGACAAAAAATGTTGGAGACCCCCGATTTACTAACTTGTATGCAGCTACTTGGTAAATCAAGTGAATGGGAGTTAGAGAATTGACAATACACAACACTTACCAAATGTAACTTTTATTTTCTGGAATATTCATATTATATTAAGATAATTTAGTTGTGGTTTGTGATCTCATTTTTTCACACTTTTCCATCCTGATCTTTTTCCAGACTTTGTCCCTATTGACCTTGATGAGTGGTGGGCACAGCGTTTCCTAGCTAACATAGACAAGCTCTCCTGACACTGTTGAGGCATCTATGACTCGTGTGACTGAAAAAACACTGAAGTTCATGTTGCGTGCCTTTGCCAGGAGGGACCACAGAGATCTGAACGGTCTTATGTGGATCAGAAGTATGGACAGTGCTGGGTCGCTGACCATGAGACTGGCCAAAGCCTTACAAGGATCAGTTCATAATGTTTAAGCTGCTACCGATGAAACGCAGCACACCCCTTCAGGTCATTTTTGTGTTGTAAGTAAAATGCAGTAAAACATGTTTTACAAAAAGCTTTGTAGTGGTTTATTCATGTTTAAACATAGTTTATTTTGTATTTGAAGAGTATACTTTATTCTAAGTTGAGTCACCAGGTCTGTGTAGTCTTTAAGCCATAATGGTGAGGAGCTGAGGATAAAAAAAAAAATTTCAAATGCAAATAGATTGTTGAGAGGCAGATTTTTGCTGTGGTGACCAACTAGAAAAAATAAAAACATAGACACACTGGCTGTCAGACAGAATGCATATGGTTATATTATTCACCAACTATAATTTAAAGACTAGTGTTTTGGTATAACTATATAAAAGTATTTAAGTTATATATTAATATACGTTCCATGTAAATTTGTTAGCCTTAACAAAAGGAACAAGGTGGTAACAAGTGTCATCTTCCTTAGTATGATTTCATAAATTACTGACTTACAATCCCACTTTAAAAGCAAAGGCAAGGGTCATTTCTAAAAGCAAAGATGCCTCTTTACTCAACATTAACTTACAATAGGAAAAACTACAATTAGAAAAGTATACATTATAATTGAGCGGTATTATCACATCCACGTTTTTACATTAACAGACTTTTTTACTTCAGTATTGCTTCCTTATGGCCACAATGACTTAATCCAACAGAAGTAGGACAGCTTTCATTTGAGATAAAAACTGAAGGATATCAATGGCCTTTGAGAGAACAAGTCACATCTTCAGCTGTACATTCAGTCCATGTGCCACTGTCCTCCTTAAAGCGACTGATGATAATAAACCTATAATAAAGCAGAGTCTATGTGTAAAGTGTCTCAGTGCTTCTCCAGAGCTTTAGTTAACAGCTCATTGAGGCGGGAAATCATCGGCCTAGGATCGTCATTCAGGCCTGCTGCAATCATGGCGTTGTCATAGATCTGCAAAGTACAAAAGAATGTGTTTCATTCAAATTAAAATACATGCAGCTCGATTAAATGCATAAACTTTAAAAATAATTTATTATTACATTATATTACATTTTCTGATAAATAATAATAATGTATTGTAGTGTAAATTAAGGAAAATTAGGAAAGCCTATGCCTAGTCATATTACCTGTTCTAGTAACAGTCCAGCCAGATCAGTGTTTGAATCCTTCAGTTCATGTAACTTCTTGATGAGGTCATGTCTGGAAAAAAAAACAATTATAAGTCAATTAATTAAACATATCTAAGCAATATATAATATAAATATTATAATATAAAAAGCTCATAAGTAAAATTACCCTGCATTGATTTCTAAGGTGGGCTGGAGTATTTGGGCCCTCTCCTCTGCAGTGCGAGCCAACTGCTGTGTCCGCAAGAAATGTCGGGCAGCTCCCATTTCCAGCACTGTGATCATGGCTGGATGGGTGTCCAGGCGGGGAGTGACCTAGAACACCAAAAATTTGGATTCATATAATTGTAGAAAAGTTACTTAATTAAATTACAAAAAAGTATGTATTATTTACTTTAATGTTGGTGACTCGAGGGCCGAGAGCATTTCTCATCCAAGCCATCAGGTCATCAGCCTGTTCCTGTGTGAGGCGCTCGGATTCTGAGTTGCAAGAAAAATTAGGAAAATTAATTTTCAATAGTATTCCTGTCAAAAGACCAACTTATCTTTCAATATATCTATATAAAGTAATTTATCACACTTCAAATGTGTTTGTGACAATTAATGAATAAGGAAAGAGAAACAGACCAGGTTTGGTGTCCTGGAATTTCTCCTCCTTGTAATGATCCACCACAATGTCCGTCTCCACTGAGATCAACTTTTTCTTATCAAATTCTCTAAGATGAAGCAGTGTCAGCTCATCAAACTGTTCATAGCAAAACAGCACCTGTGCAAATCCATAGAAAAATGTATGCAATATTACTAAAGGAATCGTGGTACAAAAAGCAGCCAAGAGTTGGTGTGATGTGTGCACTGTAGCTCTCACCTCCATGTCCTTTTGCTTCATGGCCTCGTAGTAGGGAGAGTGTTCTGCCAGGTGACGATTGGGGGCACACAGGTAGTAGATGTTGCGTGTGCCAGCCTTCATGCGGGAGCCATACTCCATGAGGTTTGTCTGCTGACCGGCTGGCAGAGCAGATGACTCGAATCTCAACAGCTTTGCAATGTCCTCCTATTGAATCAAAATAAACAGTCATTCATTTTCAGACAATTTGAAAAATTTTTAAGCTCGAATGAACAACTGAACTTCTCCCATCTTTTTGCTCCGTAGGGGTCTGGAGGGAGAAAGAAACATGAGGGAGAAAGAGACAAAAGCAAATATTAACTCTACAATACTCAAATGACTAAAATGAGAAGTCATAGATGATGTTCAACGAGTACAGAATACTTTTAGTGATATATGCCTATTACTGAAGTTTGTTTCTCCCGACAGGATCCACGGCGAGGAACTGAACCTTCGCCCCAGGTTTATGAGAGAACTGCTCTGCCCCCCTGTGTTAGACACCCAAGACACTGCAGTCTGGGTGGGGCAAAAAAAAGGGGCCAACCTTATGTTCTTACGACATCACAAGATTTAACATTTAGGTCAATCAAAAATTTTAAAAATGCGCCAAATTAGTTTTTAAGTTGACGGTCTGAAATCTTTTAGGTTTCACCATGGAGATGCTTTGTCAGGAATGTTTCACAAAATGCCATTAAACTACGTATTTCTTCAAAAACAGTGCAATGTCAATCAGCCAATCGTTTACCTTTAAATCTCAACTTGGAAAAATGCAAGTGATTGACATTACACCGGTCACAAGTACACACGGTAACTGTGGTACAGTGGGGG